TCGTGCATGCGCACTGCCACTGATGAGTCCCATACAAGGACGAAACAGTTGTCATTCAGTGCTTCCATGTTTCTATCAGTTGTCTAACAATGATTGATTTTAAGATTTCAATCAATTAAAATTGATTTGGATTTATTGGCAGTATAACTAAAGAATACAGTAAACACTTCATTTTGACAGGTGTACATTGAATAAGATCTTTGTGAGTATAATTTTTAAATGATTATTGACATGATTCGCTTTACACTGATATTCACATTCATCTAGTTTCAGTAATTAAATTTATTGATCATTTTGTAAATATTTTATCGGAATAGTGACTCAATAAGCTAGTCGTATATATATATATGAATATAATATAGACAACTGGTTTTTAGACATTATCAGTACATCATACTGTTTTGAAATAATAAACTTAATTGACATGGTTGTCTTATTAGCTTAACTATGAGGAATGAGTTACAGAATTTCAGAGAACTAATATTTTCTTTATATATATATATATATATATATATATATATATATATATATACATATATATATATGTAGACAGTTTCAAATGTGAAAAATCCCATAATTATTTTATGACAAGCGCTTCTAGGTTTATATGACTATTATGTATATATACAATTATATATATATATATATATTATTCTGATTACTATGGTAATGTCTTATCTAGTCAATAACTTCACTGACTACATTCATCTAGTGTGTTAAATGAAAACAGCAGTAGAGTAAATATTGAATAAAAATGTACCATCATATTTATGTAATAGTAGTTATTATTACTATTACTGCTATTTGTTGTGTTAATTTTAAAGTTTCGTATATCCTTACAACCATTAAGAACATTTCAAACAATGAGATATCTTGAAATTGTTTCCATAGTTAAAATTAAAAACTGATCATAACTAGACTAATACTAAAAGCCTGACAAATCCGTACAGCTGTTTCATCCTAGTACTCGGCTTCTCAGCAGTGCGTAATCGCTATTTTACATGCGGGAATTAAACCGATCATTGTCAGTGAGTGGAAAATTGCTCAAGAGCATGGACTGATTGAAGTTAAACATCTTCACCCTTGTATGCTGGCTCAGTGATCTAGCGTTTAGTCATTCTCATGCTAGCCCTCAAGTTGATTCTTGAGTACGAGGTCGTGGATGAGTATTGCTGAACGAAACGACAGTCCAGTGCTTACATTTCTTCAATGAGTGAATTATCTCACATTAGTTAACAGTTTGAACTGCGAAAATTAAATTTTTTTTCTCATAAACTGATTGGCAAGTTTCTTCATTAAAATATAAATTTTATAAATGGATAAACTGAATCATAAGATTTAATTTGCTGAAGAAAATGTAAAGCATCAAAAAACCACTGAACAGTTGAATTGTTTTTATTTAGATTTTAACCTTCTGATTTTTAGTATTATTTTCAGAACGAACCTATGAGTGTTTAGTTAATTCACTCAATTCATTAAAATCATGAATCGATATATGTTAGACCACATCATTCGATACTTAGGAGCACCGGACAGCCTTTTCTTCCCAATATGTGTGTGACTCATCAGCAGTACACATCATAAGTGCACTTGTGACTGGCTGCGTGAAGAAATTCTCGGAGTTCTAGTGAGAATTCGTGACCAGTGGAATTGAGCCGTGTTGGGCGTTAGGTAGTTTCTCAAAAAATCAATGAGTGAGGTCGCGAAATATCGAGGATTGATTGAAGCTAGACATTTACACCTTTGAATACCGAATAAGTGGTTAGGAGGCCAAGTGTTCATGAGCGAAATTGAAGGTTTTGCATTCGATTCCAGCAAGTGGCAATCTCGTTTGTGCACTGCTGATGAGTCTCATACTCAGAAAAAACAAGTATCCAGTGCTTCCAGGTATCGAATAGCATCCAAATGTTGGTCGATTTATGATTTCGATAATAAGTATCTAAGTAGACATAACTATTGATATTTTCTTTTCTTCATTATTTGTATCAAAAGTTAAGTGCCGAGTATTTCCTTCTCTCATTTCAAAACTATATATTCTAATAACATAAGCTGATGCCAGTTATATGTCACCTGATCAATCAGATTAGGTCCAGCGCATAGAATAAAAGGATGCTATTAGTTACTGATTGATGACTAGTCAGTACAATAATATAAGTGCTACTGGAACGTGCTTTGGCTCTGAATACTCCTCATAAAATAACTTCATTGGATGGTATCAGTCAGTGTTAAGCGCTCTCGATTTAGATTGTAACCAGCATTAATCTTAAGATCACATCTTCCTTCTAATCGATTACAAACATTTTTTATATAGAGCAAGGTACATCAAGTTATTAAGCTTTTCAGTATAAAAAAAACAACTGGCATGTTCATCATACCGTAAGAAACTAAATGAAACTTTGATCTATTCTACATGATATCGGCTACTACCATTACGATCACGTAATTAATAGATATCGAATAAAAAACATAATAACTATCGTAAATTCCTTAAACCTTGATAGGATTGTTTTAATTGATCATTTTCGTAAAACAATTTAAGGATGATTCTTTCAAATAAAGTAAAAAGAACAAGGTTTCTCATCATCTATAAAGCTCATTTTGGCTAGAAATAGTCACTTCAGTGTAGGTAAACTTCAGTATTGATTAATTTCATAGACTGTGATGAAAACTAAGAAAGAATATTTTCCGTTAGAGTTATGGAGATGAGTGTTTTTTACACATTTGAAATCATTAATCAATCAATCATTGGTAGACCACCATTAGAAACATGGAAGCACTGAAAGACGGCCGTTTCGTCCTGGTATGGGACTCATCAGTGGCAGTGCGCATCCACGAAAGAATTATCAAATTTAGTCATAGGTATTAATACTAAGGAAATGTTTAGTTGAGTAACGCTAATCTGAATCTAAGAGGGAGCATCAGGCACCTAAAGATTCCAGGTAAGCCTTGTTGACGAGTGTTAATAAGCATGAAACACAGTTCTGCAGTTTCCGAACTAATTAGTTACACTTATCAAACAAATAAGTCTTTTTACAATTTATAAAACGTATCTCTCCTTTTGATCATTCAATTATTCATATCTAAATAAAATTATGTTTAATAATAATAATAAAATTATTGTTAAAATTTAACCTTTCAGTTTTTGTCCGCTTTTTTTAAATTGAAAATTGTCAGAGAAATGTTTGAATCAGTTGTACAACTATTGAACCTTGTTTACAAGTAGAGCGAACATCTCGAAAGTTGTGTTTTATCAAAAAAGTTGACATTAATTAAAAAGGATTGTTTTGATAACAGTCGGTTAGTAAATACGTGGTTTTTTGCCTCAAAACCAATCAACACTTTGTGCTTTACAATTGAAGATTTTTACACAGAATAGGATACCTTTAAATCATTTATTTTCAAAGTAATAGATATTTTTATAGTTTAAACGTTTTGTCAGTTTTAAAATGACAGAAAAAGATTGATTTCAGTGTAGAGTTGTAAATGTATGCGATAATAATTGTCTACTTTGGAGAATGACGAGAGAAAACTGTTTACTGAATCTGTCTTCACTTAAACTTTGTTTGACATTCTAATAAGTATTATTCTGTTTATTTCAATCAGTTTATGATAAAGTATAAATTTGTTAATATATATTATATTTCAAATGATGACATAATTTTAATCAGTAAAAATAACCATAGAAATCACTTTTTTTAAATCTAAATTCATTTTTACTCTCAAACATGTTGAAATAAAATCTCATATATATATATATATATATATATATCACTGATTTTATATGTGTATTTTGAAAAAACTAGCACAAATTTAGAGAAAAGAAAAGAATAGCTAGTTATATATTTATTATTCTATATACAGACTAGTCAATCATTTATTTGAAAAAAAAATAGTAAATTTTGATAGATATAAGTATATATATATACTAGGTATAATAACTGGGGTAGTGAAGTGATGAACATCTATATTGCTTAACATACTTTTTTCAAATTAATTGAACGTATGTCTGTTTCATTCATACAAATTTGTATTCAGATGATAATGGTTATAAAAAGATAATAAGATTGACTGACCAACTAACTGATTGTTTAGTGCTGTTTATTACCTTAATATTTGTTCTAGTTAGTGTCTATCGAGGAAAGTTATTCTGTCTATGCGAAGAAAAGTTCCAGGATAGAGTTGGTTGGAGAATGGTGGTCCGCGGCCTATGTTCCGTTTAGGGTAACAGACATTAATAAGTAATTAACTTAATATTGTACACAGGGTGGGTGTACGTTCCAGTTGACCTTGTGTGAAAAACTCGATCTTTAGCTTCATGTCGAGTTTGGGGGCTCCGATCGATTGTAACAGCGCAAGGCAGTTTGAGGCCAGACGGATGGAACGGTTGCCGGCTAGTGCAGTGCTGAGTGGCTCGGTAGTCCGTTTCGGGGTGCCAGGTCTATCTGGGAAAGCCCACCTTGCTGCCCTTGCCGATTGAGGATTGTAGGTAGTGGATTGGTTGGAGGTATCGAGTTGATTCATCAGTGCCCGAACGGGGGTCACTGCTCGTGTGCGTGGTTTTTGGACGTTCACTTGTCTGCAGACCAATCTAGACAACATGTGCTTTCTCGTATGGGGCAGGGGTTATAGCAAAATTAGCTTTTGTGTGAATCCTTATGTTGCCTAAAAAGCAGCGGCGTGCATATGCAGCAGGCTTGTTGGTTAAGCAAGAATATATGTATATATGTATATTGCTTAATCCTGTTAACCCAGCATTCTCCAAACTACTCTGTCCTGGACCTCCCTACATGACAAAAAATTCCTGATAAATCTACGCTTAATATAGAAAGATTTATATCTATACCGAATAAATAAAACAATTTAATCTCCTCTGTTATTCTAATCTATACAGATTGGTACTACTTGAAGAGATTCTTCATGTATTCATTAATCAAGCGGTACTTAAAAGATTTGAACTTGATAAAAATTTGAAAAAAATAATCGAATCTTAAAAAACTTACTTTTATTCAAATTAGAATTACTATTTGATGTCAGTTGCATTGTTGGTTGCTGTGATACGACGAGTGGGAAAATTCCACCAGGCATTAATATTAATTGTTTTTGTTCATCGGGCGATAATTCATTGATATTTTCTGGTACATAAGTAATCCATTCATAGGTTTTACCTCTTTCTAATTGCGGTAAACATTGGTCATCATTATTATCATTATTGGCGTTGCCTGCCTCATTCTTCATAGTTGGATCATGTGAATAATCTTTTGATCTGATTTGATTCACATGCACCAATTCATTGAGTTGAAGTTGAGCAGTAGTAGAAGAATTTCCAATCTGTGGTTGTTTTAAAATCCGCGTAATTTTAACAAATGCATTTAAACCAGCATTGTCATCGTCTAGTACATTCGTAATTGATGGTTTATCCAATTGAATAATTTCTGCTTCAAAACGATAAGTATTTTTAGAATTGGATAAAGCAATCAATTGTTCTGGACTTAAACAAATCGATGTCGCTGACACAATTGGATAATATATACTACTAATGAGACTACTAATAAATATGATGGCATTCATGTAGGATGATATCATCATCCATGGCGACGAATATGTTGAATATGATGATGACACAATGTGTCCTTGATTTATTGTCATGATTTGTTATGGTGAGCAGTCAATTTTTTGTTGAATGTATGGAAACACTCCGTCTGTAGCTTTCATCTTGTCATTATGAGTAGTAGTAGTAGTAGTATAAATGGATGGATGCAAATAATACGTCATGATAATAATAATAATAATAATAATAATAATAATAATAGTATTTCAATAATCCAGTGAAGTGACAGTTAATTAATTATCCACAAATATGATAATTCCTCCAGGTCATTAAAATTAATTTCATTAGGCAAAATGAGAAACACACACAGGGCGAGAGAGAGAGGGAAATGTTTCTAACAAATGTAATTTTCTCTGTGTTCAATTTTAAATATTCACTAAAAAATAAATAAATTCCAATTAATTATTGGTTATTGAATAATAAATAGACAACTGTAAAACAAAATCATTGAACACAGTAGTAGTAGTAGTAGTAGTAGTGGGTCAGTGAGAAAAAACTAGTGAACTTTTTTTCAAACATTCATAATGATTGTGAGTAGTACATTTTTCAAGTAATTTATTTATAATTTAGAAATATATATATTCAATGTTCATTTTTTCAAGGATACATTGTTCTGTTCTGTTCTGTTTGTTTGTTTGTGATTACTCAACACAATTTCAGTTTGACTGAATGCAAACATTCAAATCTATGAAGGCATACACGTATGTACATATATATGTGTATATATTTACACACAGATCGTTGATAGGTAGAAAGATTTACAGATATATATACAGTTTTTCATGCAACAATACACTGATTATGATCATTATTAACTGCGAGACCTTAACTTTATATACAATTTTTTTTTATAAATATGTGGGTGTCTTTTAGTGTATACCGTTCGTAGTATTATCTATTACTAACCAGTAACATATACACACACTCTGTCTCTCTCTCTCTCTATAAATCTATTCAAATACACAAAAATGTTTGCAAAGATGCACACATTGGATTGTTTACAAAGTACAATCTCAATTACTCAACTATTTATTCACTCTCAACAAATAATAATCGAAAAATTCTATTCTATTCTATTCTACGCTAACTGCTAGTTTACCGAGACAGAAATAAAAAAATTCCTCAAGAAACATTCATCATAAATAAAATTTGATGAATAGACTACTTTCATTTTAATAGTTTGAGTTGAGTTGAGTTGAGTTCGGTTCGTTTATTATCGCCAGGAATGTCACAAAAAAAAACAAAATAGTCAAGTCGGTATTTCACAGCGTAATCAAATAGATTTATTTCATGATGGTATATTATTACGTCGTATAACGACGATCAATCAATCAATCAATTAATCAGTTTGACGCAGAATCATTTGTTTTTTTGTTTTTTTTTCTATTTGTGTCAAAACAATAATGATCAATTGGAAATTCAATGTTTCAAGTTGTGATGATTGTGTTCAATGAAAGAAGAAATAAATATGAAGATATGTGTGCTGGTGTATATATTCAATATTACATACTTGTTGTTTTTTCAAACAGCACAGCGCATTTTATGAATTCCATTGGTCATTGAAATGGCTCATTTTTACAAATTATGAGTGTGTATGTAGGTGTAAGTGTGGCTGTTGTTTCATAAGGTTTTGTATGTGTGTGTGTGTTTATTTAGGTATATTGAATCAATTCTTAATTAATTGGTGTTGTATGGCTGATTAGAAATTTTTAAGTAAGTGAATTTTCCGTAGACACCATTGAAAATTACTGTAATCAAGCAATTTCATTGATTAACAATAAAATTAATAGAAGTGTTGATAGACTACTACAAGAAATAAACATATTTATGAGTAAAGTCGATACACCGGCATTTCATATGTATGCCGCTAGTACAACTGGAGTTTTCTTCTACAATGATGCATTTACCCTGGTTTGAGTGAATAAAATTCAGGATATTTTATTACTTACTTACTTACTTGCTTACTCCTGTTAGCTCCAATCGAGCATAGGCCGCCCAACAGTTTTCTCCGGCCTACTCTCTCCTGGGCTTCCTTCTCCAGTTCTGTCCAATTTTTGTTCATTCTTCTCATATCTTTCTCTATTTCTCGGCGTAGTGTGTTCCTTGGCCTTCCTCTTTTTCTTTTGCCTTGAGGGTTCCATGTGAGGGCTTGTCTTGTGAGGCATTTGGGTGCTTTTCGTAGTGTGTGTACTATCCACTTCCACCGCTTCTTCCTGATTTCCTCCTCCACTGGTTTGTTCTCTGCTACAGTACGTTTGTGCTGATCGAGGATACTTTATGTCAGAGTCTAATTCACTTAATTTTTGAATGATGCCTGCCTAATCAACTTACAAATTAAAACCAGAATTGAGGTTTTAAACATTTCACTCCATTCATTTACCGTATATCTGATTTCTGTCTTCAATGTATTGTTTGTCCACAATGGTTCTGTCTCATTGCATTTTTTTTGACCTAAAATAATTTTGATGAAATTATCCCAATGAAGTTCTAAATAAGATTTTTTCTGAACTCCAAGCTCCAGGTTTTGATTTGAATAGCTATTGCTTCAGTCGTCCAACGGATTATTTTAGTCTGACCAATTCAGGCAGCTCTATTCTAACGAACTTAGCTAGCCTGAAGCAATCATATATCGTGTTAACAACACTCTGTCTCAATTAGTCAGACTAAGAATCCTTCAGACGACTGAACTAATAACTCTTCGAACCAGACAAGATTGATGGATGAAACTTTTGCGATTATTTGAATTTCAATCACAGAAATAGCAAAACAAACAGATGATTATCATTTGTAGATGATATACACTTCAGATCAATTAGCCTGACAGTTAAACTCTTTATTATGTTTTAGAGAATAGGCGACTTACATAATTACTGTTATGCAAACATTCTTGATGTTTAATCATATTTAGTTTGTGTTAATTTTCATTAGATAAAACATCTATTCTTCTGATTAGTCATCTTGAATTTTGATTTTTAAGTTGTTCAAAAGGCTAAAGTCAATAATCTTGAGCATCTTGATCATCGATTCATATGCTACATAGTATGATTACTTTTCATTGATCGATCAGCATTTGATTTGATTTTCGTTTAATAATCGAAAATTCAAAGACAGGAATTATGTTCACGAGTTTATAGCGCCTACACATGCCAATGTTCAATATGTGTGCACTATTTTCAGTTATCTAGCGAACGCTGTATATATAAGGGCGTTAATTCATCGGATTTCATTTCAAGGTTTAACGTTCATTATATTTCCTTTTCTATATGGCAAGTTAGTGCAGCGACAAATGAATATCTCTGTAAGTCTTCAGTATTGGTGATGATCTCATTAGTTTTATTAAAAACACAGACCCGACTGAAAGCACTCATTCATGCATCCGCACTAGGTTACTGTTGGATAAGCCGTGCTATGCATACCTCGCAACAACCAATCAGGTAAGATCACTTACCTAACTATCTCTCAAAAATACTTTCAGTCTCATTCATTTCTGACTTATGGTTTGACTGGGTTTGATGTTCTCATGTAGAAGGGTGCTACAGACGAAAGGGTTGTCAAACACTGAATATTTGTGACATCATCAGTATGCGCTAGAGTAACTTGTTTGCAGAAGATATATGTAGATAGTTTAAGATAACTGGAATGAAATCAGCAGAGAAAAGTATGGAGCGTAAACTTGGAGAATTACCAAAGCCATCATCTGGAATATACAAGTGTTTATTAACAGTTGTCTTCGCAAAATACTTCGAATTCGTTGGCCAGACACTATCAGCAACAACGTACTGTGGGAGAGAACAAACCAGATTCCAATGGAGGAGGAAATCAGGAAGAAGCGGTGGAAGTGGATAGTACACACACTACGAAAAGCACCCAACTGCGTCAAAAGACTAACCCTCACTTGGAACCCTCAAGGCAAAAGGAAAAGAGGAAGGCCAAGGAACACATTACACCGAGAAATAGAGAAAGATATGAGAAGAATGAACAAAAATTGGACAGAATTGGAAAGGGAAGCCCAGGACAGAGTTGGCCGGAGAAAACTGGTGGGTGGCCTATGCTCCATTGGGTGTAACAGATGTAAGCAAGTAAGTAAGAGAAAAGTATACTGTTAAATGCAGTACTGAGATACCAAATGAATGCTCAGAAGTGTGAAACATCTCAATTCTATTCAATACTGAAAACGAATAATTGTCTCCATATAAAATTCATCCATCTAATCTTTTAATCCTCTCAATACTATATGTACATGCATAAAGTTACACTATCTATTCGAATGATTAATATTTCCCGCGCTTGACTAATGATCCTCCTATAAAACAACTTCTGATTATAATTCAATGTCGCAAAATTGAGTCACAGAAACGAGTTTGTACTTTTTAACATGATAATTTATCATTGAACTAAAGTATAAACTACTTGTATTCGATTAATGACAAATTATTTCACTAAAATATATATGAATCATAGTATACATGATAAATCGGAAGAATTTTGTTAACATCTGCTTTTTGTTGAGGTTTTACTCTTTTGAAGAGTTTTAAAATATATGTTAGTGATTTTAAGCAGTTTTTTTCTGAAATAAAGTACGTTATTTATTTCTTTGGTAGTATTACGAATTCCGGTGACCGAGTGGATGATGAAGACGTCAACATCTAGAGGGAGGCACGGGATACAATGGAAAACTAGGATGCAGCTGGACAATTTGGACTTCTCAGATGATTTGGCTATTTTATCGCGCACACGACAACAAATACCAGAGAAGAAGGTCTGTGAAGCAGCAGCCTCTGCAGCAGTCGCCCTCAACATACACAAAGGGAAAAGCACGATTCTCTGACACAATACACTTGATATAGATTCCTTCGAGGATGTAAAAACCTTTACATATCTAGTCATTATCACTGACGAGCAAAGTGGATCCGATGCAGATATAAAGGCGCGGATCGGCATAGCAAAGACAGAATTTCTAAAAGCGAACAACATATGGAACTCAAAACAACTGTCAACAAACAAAAAAGTCACGATTTCCAGTACAAATGTCAAAACAGCTCTACTGTTTTGGGCGGAAAGTTGGAGAACCACGAAAGCCATCAACCAGAAGATTCATGTATTGAATAATAGTTGTCTACACAAAATACTTCGGATTCGTTAGCCAGAAACCATCAGTAACAACCTACTGTG